TGATTCTAAAAATCGTATATATTTTTTTGTAAATCGTAGAAAAGATTGAGGAAAACTGAAATACAATAGTTTGTTTCTATTTTCCATTCAATAAATATTGATTGGAACCCATCCGGGGTCAAAACCGCAACCCTTCTATATCACCCGGTCTTAAAGCGGGATCCGCAAAATGATCGTGAAAAATGTAGCCATCGTTCAACTATTCAACACGGCAAACTTCAGACATATAGAGCTAAAAATATTTAGACTTCCCATGATATGAAAAATCCCCCAGGTTAACATACTATGTAGTTAATGCACAAATAAAAAAATGCTTACACTGTTTTAGCAATGACTTTAATCATATAGACTATTGTTTTCTAAATCTATTATTTTGTATTTTTTTTTATAAATACATAAGTATATTTAAAGTTCCTATATTATCAAGCATATTTTTGTACCCATTACTTGCTTCAATTCGTCAAAATATTAAGTAATGATATACATATAATAAGTTTTTCTCGATAACGCGATTTTAAACATCATCAAATTTATTTTTCAATCTGAATAGTTTCTACTCAGATTATTACGTCCAAAAAAACAAAACTCTTCGAAATATATATATCATAGTAAGATCTTTTTACTAAAAGCAAGTTTTTCTAAATATATTATTTTGAGTCTTCTAACGAAGACTGAAATGAATATGTTTGGAAGCTCTAAATTTTTGTGGGTCTTTGAATGCCAACAGAAGCCTTTGGCCATTTTATCGCTGTATTCAATGTTTGAAGATATTGACGTGCATCTTCTATACTTGATGCAGTATAACATCAACATTTCTATGCCTTTTCCTGTCTGTGTAAGTAAATCTTTTGAGTATATATATTTTTTATTTATCAAACAAATAAAGTAAAATTTAGAAACTTATAAAAACATAATAATCACACAAAAACTACCTAGTTATTTAATTTCTTTTGAAAAACTTGAGCAGATTTTATTTTAAAGAAAAAATAAAATGATAACAAGGTATTGATCGTGTTTCTGCAAGTATCTTACTCCACTGCAATAAGAAACAAAATAGGTATGGGGTTTAATATGACGTATAAAATACATAATTTTTAAGCAACTTTTTCCAATCTATATTAGATTATATAAGAAAAATGTATAATAAAATATGTTATCAATAAAACTACTCAAAATATTACATAACCGGTAATACTAATTCCTAAAATTGATAAAACATAACTATATTTTTCTTAATGGCATCTAAGACTTTCGCAAGTATTCATTTAGATAAAACTAATATTTCGGATTTTATTATTTTGAAACTACATACAGATGAGTCGTATGTCAGATAATGTTTGTTTTATTTTTATTTTTCTTGGTATATATAAATTCCTGAACACATATTAGGTTTTTCAAATTGAAATAATATTACTTCAAGATTTTCATTATCTTCGAAGTGGATAAGAACTTAATATATGTATTACAAACTAACGGTATGTTTTAAATTAAATTTGAATAAATAATAAACTGGGTATACCCAGTTTATATATAAACAGTAACAAAACAGATAATCTACATTATTTTTCCTTTAAATGAAGACAAAATTAAGTAAAACATAATTGTGGTTTGTTATATGAACCTAGTTTCCAACCATAAACATAGTTTCAGTCTTCCATTTATTGCATTCACCAATTAAATGCTAGGAAGGCAATAAACTGTCGCAGTTGCAATACTCACGATATCTCGAATGCAAATCGAATTAGCTCAACCAAGCGGTTACCAAATAATTGGCTTTATCTCACCGTCGGTTGCTTTTTTTAATAACGAAAATACCGATGTAGATATTTGTATTGGAATAATTGGAACGAACTGTGTATTCAAAAATGTAAAAGCTTCAGTTTGTTAGACTGACTTGAACATTCGTTATACTTTTCAATAAATAATACCTAATAGTTATTAAGATTCCGCTACCAGATCAGTGGGCATCCATAAAGTACGTCAAAGAATTTTAGGATTTTTGAACCCCTCCCCCCGTCTTTGTCACATTTTATACCCCCCTCCCCCTTCTGATGTGACGTCACACATTTGATGAATTTATGTATGTTTTTCAAAACAAACAAGAGAAAACAGCTATTTATATTTTTTACTCCTTTTTATTACATATCCAAATGCCTTTAATATTTAATATTTTAAAACGTGTCATCACAAAACTATTGACCTTCCCATGCCTCCTGTCACAATGCCACACTTCAGTGATACCCTCCCTCTCCATTAACGTGTGACGTACTTTATAAATGGCTCCTTATTATAAGAAAATATATCCTTACATGCCTATAACAATATCAAGAAACTTAATTACAAAGATGTTGAAACCCCAAGGAAAAAACATATTCAATTTGGAATAACGAGTCTCCATTAATAAGCCACAGTACTCTGAGGATCTTGTTCCATAATCTAATGTTTTCGTAATACAAGTACGAACAGCAAAGAATTATCAAACAAATTATAATCTTCGATAATACTACTTATGTGGGTTTTTATAACTTTATTTTCATATCAACCAATACACTGACTGTTACTGATGATAAATGTCTTATAATAATTGTCTAGTCATATTATCGTTAAGAAATACGACAAGAAATTCGTATTTAATAATGATTTAAAATACAATTTAAAATTAACAAAGATTTTAAATATAAATTAAATATAAAGTAAATTACTACGCGTAGTTTATTATTGTAAAGAACTACAATCGTTTGAGTGACTTTTTTTTTTTTTTTTTTTTTTTTTTTTTTATATCATAGGGGGCAAACGAGCGGGCGAGCCATCTGGTGAGAGATAGTCATCGCCGCCCATAAACACTCGAGGAGCCAGAAGGCGCCCGAGTGCGTTGCCGGCCTTTCAAAAATAGGTACGCTCTCTTCTTGAAACACCCTAAGTCGTAATGGATAGGGAATACGTCGCTAGGCAGCTGATTCCACAGGGTGGTGGTGCGTGGCAGAAAATTTCTTTTGAAGCGCACTGTGGTTGACTGCCAGCTGTCAAGGTGGTGCGGATGGTATTGCAACCTGTGACGTGCAGTGCGGTGGTGGAATTCAGCTGCCGGCAGTAGCCCAAAGAGCTCCTCAGAGCATTCCCCATAGTAAAGGCGGTAGAAGACGCTGAGAGAGGCAACGTCTCTCCGCAGGGCTAAAGTATCAAGCCGATTGGTAAGATCGGTATCGTCGACCATTCGAGTTGCACGACGTTGGATTCGGTCAAAAGGAAGAAGTTGGCACTGGGGCGCTCCAGCCCAGAGGTGAGAGCAGTACTCCATGTGAGGTCTAACCTGCGCCTTATACAGCGTCAGACGTTGACCCGAAGTGAAGTACCGCCCCGCTCTGCGAAGTACGCCAAGTTTTTGAGACGCCAACCTGGCCTTATCTTCCAAGTGACTACGAAACTGTACATCACTCGAAATGGTGACACCCAGAATACCAATACTGGCTGTGGGTTTAAGGGAATTGCCCTGGAACCGAGCTGTTACGACAAAGGGTGTTCTTTTTGCGGTGAACGCGCAGACTTGTGTCTTAGTTGGGTTAAATGTAACCAGATTGGTTTGTCCCCAGGATGACACTTGATCGAGTAGAGACTCGATGCTAGACACAAGTCTACTTCGACACTCAGCGACGTGGTCCTGAGAAAGTGTGCGTTCTCCGGTATAGAGCGTATCACCAGTGCTGTCATCTGCATAGCAATGAATATTGCCGACTTGCAGCAAGTCATTGATATGCAGAAGGAACAGAGTGGGAGACAAAACGCAGCCTTGTGGGACACCAGCGTTCACGGGCATTAAATTCGAGCACAGACCGTCGATAGCGACCTTTATGCTACGCTCCGTAAGAAAGCTGGCTATCCACTGGCACAATTTCTCAGGAAGCCCATAAGAAGGAAGCTTCGATAGAAGCGCTTTGTGCCAGACCCGATCAAAAGCCTTCGCTACGTCCAAACTGACTGCTAAAGCCTCGCCTTTGCTCTCAATAGCCGCGGCCCATCGATGCAATCAATCAACTTTACATCAATCGTGATCACGACCAGACAAGATGAGAGATAAAATAGCATTTCATTTATTAAAATGTTATGTTTTCTTTAGAATAATAAAGCATAAGCATTAGAAATTAAAGCGAGCATGACTTCTGTTTGCTTAGTGCTTAAATTTAGCTTCATTTCGCCAAGCACACAATTAGCATAACCGTATTCCTGAAGACGATTCCTGACGCTTATTATTGCTTCGTAACTTCTTGGAGAGAAAACAGTTTTATTATTCAACGTTCCCAGCTTCGCTCTTATTGACAGTTCTAAGCATATTTATACAGGTATTTGACTGCATTGTGTTTTTATTTGTTAAATATATAATTAGATTTTTACATTAGAAAACATATTGGATCCTGCAAAACTTTGCTTTGAGAAATAACTATACCGTATGTGAGAAACTCTATAATAAAGCGTTCATTGTAATATAGTGAAAATTTATCTTTGAAATGATCCCATCTTTGATCATAATTTAAATAAAAAAAAATCATAACTAAATATTTTAGGTAACTGCGATTTTTGTATGTTCTATAAAGCTAAATGACTTTAAAGGTAGTACATATGTACATATACATATATATTACCTATTATTGTTATTCTTTATATACATAAGTCCCATGTACGTCTGTTTCTATTCTCTTATATATTTATCTAATAATAAATAAGTAGAAGATATATATTAATGCTTAAACCTTAATATTATCTATTATAAACTAGTCAAATAATATCTTTTACTGAATTTATTCTTTAAAGAAGGATTTATTTATTTTTCTTTTTAAATTTGACATATAAAAATTATATAACTTAAACATTCATGTATCAAAACCATCAAAATGTTATCCTGAAAAAGTACAACAATAAAATGGACGACGAAATATAAAAATGTTGATAATAAATCTCCAATAGAACATAAACAAATAACATAAAATCTGTTCCGTATAATAAAAATGGGAAAACTAGCCTACAACTACACAGACTCGGATGAAACTGAAGATACATCTAGTTCAGTTGAAAATGTCAAGAAGAAAAAGAAACTTTCGTATGTCCTAAAACCATAGATTTTTCATTTCCAACCATATACATATCAATTATCTTCACTTACATATTACTGATACAGGAACAATCATTGTACCGTAAAAGTATTTTCTTTTCATTGTAGGATATTGAAATACACAAGCGGTAACTTAAAAAAGAAGAAATGCCAGCTCCACAGTAAATCAGAACCAGATGAATCGGACAGAAGCAGCAGAAAATCAAGCCAGAGAATGTTCAAACAAAAGTTGAGAGGAATATTAAAACATACGGAAAGAGAATGTAAGTTATATTGATAAGAAAAAAAAAATTGTTTGTTACATTCAAAGTAATGCAAGTATTTGGCAATCATTCGAAATCCTTAAAACTAACAATATGTTCCTTACTTAAAAAAATTGCATGTATTTGCCATTTCGCTTAATAAAACTACTTCATAATAAAATATAAATAGTACCTACTTAAGTGTCCATCCTGTCCCTTAATTATAAATCCATTTTCTTTTCTTTTCCTGTATTTTTTAAATTTTTATGATTGTTTTTGTATATGAGATATTATTTAAAAAATCATGTCTCCGTATGTATGGGCTGTAAAAATAAAAACCCTTTAATGTGAGGAATGTAGGACATTAAAAATATATAGAGTTGATTTGTCAAACTGTTTTTTAACAGCCTCTGATGAGGAAGAAGAAAGTGAACCTAGCCGAAGCTTTCGGCCTCTCGATCGTTGTCTGGTAGGTAAAGTACCGAGGTCCGCTGGAACAAAGCCAGGACGGGGCGGTGGTGTGGCTATCATAGTCAGGAAAAATGTTAACGTAAGTAATGATATGAACATTAAGTTGTTGAAATGTAGAATATTATTTCAACTTAATTATATATTACAAGCCAACTGTTACAATACCTACTATGAACCGATTGAGTATACAGATAGCTTTAACTATGTTAGCTGAAACCTTAAAAGAAACGCATTTAATTTCATACGAATAATTTTGAATATTATCACTTAATTTATTATATACAAACAGTTACAAATACGAGTACATAATATATTAAAACATACACAAAACCTATCCAATTCTCGATGGAAATATTATAACCGAAAACATAGCAAATGTTTTTTAAGAGTTAGACTTTTCAATACAGAGGCATATTGGAAACTTTCTTGATAAGACATTTCAGCCGTTTGTATGTGTCGATCAAATAAAAGAACTCTTTATTTATGTGCCGACAGCTAGGAAAAAAATCATTCAATAGCTTTGCAAAGCTTTCACTTTGAAAATTTACTCAAAAGACAATGAAGAAATGAATTTATGAAAATATGCCTATATATATATATAATTTAGTTCTATGTGGAAATATAGTTCTACTAGTTCAAAAGACTCAGAGTTTTAATATATTTATATAAATGTTAATGATCTGAATTAAATGTTAACTTAGGAACAACTATAATACATATTATATTGAATATCTTTAAGTACCAACAAAAAAAAATTGTAAACGAAAATTATCACTTTATAGGCTTTGTTTAACATTTTCAACCATCCATGGTATGGTAACCATTTTAAGAGACTTTAAAGAAATTTAAACACTAGGTGCGACTGAGATTACTTTTATCAGAAAGATTCTTAATTGACTTGATTGAATTAATATATAAATTTATAAATAATAAAAAATATTTATGATAATACGATATCTACGATGTCATCTTTGATAACACTAGGATTCTACTTTACGTCTTATACTTGTTACATTTTTTATTGTGATAGTTAAATAACTTTTAATCACTGGAGTTAAGTTTCAAGATCACTCAAATTTATCACATTTTAATAATTAACAGTTAGTGAACTCATTTAGTGAAATACTAGATAGAATATTGTACAAAAGACAAAATATTACTCAAATATTGTAAGCTCTTGTTGAAACACAAAACACACAAATTACAATTAAGTCTACACTTTATGAAGTCTTCTCCGTCCAACGGGGGGAATTGTAGTGCATTAAACACATGACAGTCGTTTTTAAGAACTCCTCTCATAGTTTCTACTTACATTTGCAATAGTAAGTCAATTCATAAATTACTACACATTAACTAACTAGTAAATCATTACAATATATAACACAAGTTTTAATTCTGTTTCTATTTATAACATTAAACTATAGTATATATTCCTTTTTTCTTAGAATTTGGCGAATTTATCAGCACACCAGAGTTCAACCAGCAACGCACACAAGAGAAGTCGCTCATCGAAAAAACGTGTCAGCAGAAAACGCTCTTATTAAATAATAATTTGAATAGACAAAGCTTACACCAAATAAAAATATTCAACTATTTCGATCTCTATTATCATTTATTTATATATTTACCTTTTTGTACTTTATTTATTTATAATTAAAGCAGGAGGAAAAGAGAAATACTTTTTAGTGTGATAAATTTGGCGCTTAAAAACAAAGCTATAATGTAAGTGAAATGATTACAACGCAAATTAAGTAGAATACTGCTAGATATTTCTTAAGTGTTTTAATTGAAAACAGATTCTATAAAATTTGTGGCCCATAATAATAGTAATATTGAAACAAATGTAATGATATAATTTAGAATTTTGTAGAAAATTTAAGTGTGATTTGGACTATACAAAGGATATAATGCAAAGTTAAGTTACTTTTTAAATTACAATTAAAATAAACTACTAAAAACATAATTTCCGTGTACTTTACAACGTGTGTATAAGTCAAGCATGTGGTTTGTTCAAAGTAAAACCTCGACTTATATGAACGTCACCTATATCTAATATTTATAAAGTATACATATAGAATTATATATTTTTAAGCAAATAAGATGATGAGATGACATGTTTCAAGTCTGTAAAACTGTAAACCAAATTTTAACTCGCATGATAGTGGAACAGGTAATTATTCCCGACCTAATTTACTTCGCATGGTCGCGTACAGGCCATCCGACAACCGAGATTTTTAATGAGGAAAAATTGTTGAAATAAAATGTACATTAATTTTAATTTCATAGTGACCCAAATATACACAAGACGCTTTCTTACAATGATTATTATATGTAACATAATATTTGGATTTTCATAATTTAAAATGTTATTGAAATTTTCTTTTTTATGTTTCCATATTGTTATTTATGTATTCCGAGTAGGAACCAGTAAAGGTGTTCTTGAACAGCAGGCATATTAAAATGATAACAAATTAGGGACACCCGAATTTAAACTTACTTTAATTTTGATTCACTTTTGGATGTATGAAGGTTTCGGTTTTAATAATATTAATTAAAAATAAAATAGAAAATATAAAATTTAAAATAATACATTAAAAATCTTACAATCTCTGCAGAAATGAATACCAGTGGTTTTTATCAATAAAGCTACTTAGCTTTTAGAAATTTCAATTAAAGTATTACCTCATATAAAAATAAAATTAGTTGCGAATTATAATAAACAAAGTTATTACTTTCATACAATTATATTAATAATATGTTGTAAAGAATGAATGAATGGACTAAAAATAATAAGAAGAAACCATGTCTTTACTTTATCGTGGTAGAGAGAAAATCACGTGTAAGGATTTCCTAACAGGTTATGTATTACAACATCTGGGGTCGTCGTGAAAATGTTTGATGACTATTCTATACGTTACTTTATGACAAATGATTTTATCTCATAGTCCATGCTCTGAGGCTTACGAGAGATGGGAAAGCTAAGAAATACTATGTGAATATAACCAATTCTTTAATAATTATATTGGTCAGGTCGGCCTCTTCCTAATGCATAAGATATAAATATCTTAAGATAGTTCCAGAAATGCCATAATGCGAATATTTTTCAAACAAAAAGTTAACACGAAAAAACAAATGATAATAATCTAGATATGAGAAATAATTTAAATACAAACACAAAGTATTTTTCAAGGACGAAAGCAAATAATATTTTTTTTGAAATGTTTTAAATATTTTATTAGAACTAATTTATATCTAGTATTTGTAAAATATTAAATAGTTTTGTTAAAATTTGTAACTTACATTTTCTTCTACTTCATTCTTGGATCCAAAGTTAATTTATTTTTGCATCTGCTTACAAAATTCTGCACCTGGTGAGCGAATGTTTTATTCCACGGAATGAAAATAAGGCTGTATATACGGAAATACAGACAACGACTTGTATATATATGAATTCTTTAAGCTAGGAGTAAGATTATTTAAATAAACAATAATAACTACTACTATAAAAACCTAATTTAAAAATACATATTCCACGTTTTTTTATTTACACTTGTGATATATATGGTATAGTTAATAATATTGTTAATGTCTTAAAGCTTTTAATATGTATTCATTTTTGTATCAATGAATACAGATACTAAATACGTTTTCGAGAGATTTATTTATGCTCAAACAGCTCGTGTGCATGCAAACAAAGGTGTCCCACGATAATTGCATTAGCAAGGGAACTATAAAATCCTGCTTCCAAAAAACTGTAACAATTCAAATATTTTTATATTAATATAATAAAAAAAATTAAGAAATAATTTTATCCGAAATATACATTTATTTTTTGACGTATGTTTTAAAAATGTACGCGATAGTGCCGCTGAGAAAAAAATATTTACAATAAAATTTAAAAAGCAATAAAATATTATATTGAACTATGCAGTAGGTACTTTTGTTTTTGATATTTGGCGGTATTAAATTAAAACTGATTTACATGATACATTGCACTTGACAAAAGTTCTAGTCAGATAAGTATTCGTTTAGGCATTTTATTCTTATTATAACATTAGATTAAATAGTCAGCTCAAATATAAGAATAACATACTAATAAATCAATTTGTATTTCAAATACCTACCCCATTTAAATAAAAAACATTTCGTTAAAATTAATGTAAGTGAATTATTTGTGTTACATACGCGCTACATATTAACAATAAATGGACATCGCTGGATCAAAATCGTTGTATGGATAAAATATCATATAACGAGTGACGCTGCTGACTCCGCAGAACGAACAACTAGTCCTGTGAACCAGAAGATTCCTGATACCACACAACTATGGAATAGCATTGCTATCCTAACATCGGGGCAATCATGTAGTCTTAGATATAGGTAATAAAACTTAATATGTAATTCTTATTATAACATACATATAAGTAAGTTTCGTACTCTTCCTAGAACCTTCGGTTGTCACCCTACATAATTTTTGATTATGTATTATAATTTCAATACTCTATTGTATGTATAATAATACAAGATGAGAGATCTTCAATCAAATCTGTCGTCTGATCCTGATTTATGAAGCTGCGGTCAATGTGTTGCTGTTAGACCACAGGGTGTGAATTAAACTTAAATTTATGAACATGCTGTATATATCAAATATGAAAATGGTAAGGGCTCAATCATTGTAAACTATAAATCATATTTACTGAGTAAAAGGTTCTGGGTGTTTTGTATTTTATACAAAATTAATATGATCATAGTTAATGAATCAGTTTGCAATAAAAATTCTATTTGACCTAAACAGTATATTGGGTACATTAAAATACTATAATTTCTTATATTTTTATCCAATTGAAGAGGCATTATATTTTGCTCGGAAAATTTATATATCTGACTTCAACTACTCGTACCAATTAATGAAGATTGTCCCTTCTATAGATTAATATTAGTAGTTGTCTTGTATTGCTTATTTATATATTATATATAAATTAAATTGGAATGTCTGTGTGTGATATTGAAATAATCGTTTTTTACTACATGCATTTGCAAGTAACCAATAAACAAAAACTGCAAGGAGTTAAATCTAAAATATAATGTCACTGGTTTTACTTCATTGTAAATAATTTTGTTTTATGATAACTACACGGACAAGTATATTTTTCCATATATAGTCATACTAGTATCACTTTGAATATGAAAGGTAAAGAAAGTAATTTTAAATTAATAATAATTCTCTTAAATTAATAATAATTCTAATTAAAAATAATTCTCAGAATTTTTTAAATTTCTAGGTAGGTATACCAAGAAATGCAGTTGTTATATAAGTAAAAAGTTATGCATATCCAATTTGAATTGTGATTTATGTAAAACTAATAAAATTAATAATAGAAATAACATCAATGTAATAAACACAAAAATATATGGATACTGTTATCGAGTGTGAGATTCCGGGAATCATTTTTACAGTTTCAGCGAAAGAAATCGATGTTTGCGAATTCATTTCGACTTCCGTTTGATATCTAAGTTTGATAAGTAGATTATAAATTCGTAATAACTGACCATTGGACATCTTAGCATAGAAAATCTTTAGAAAAAATAATTATTTACTTCGTTAGAAAAGCATATAATTTGTATAAAAGCTTACAATGTAAAAAAGTATATAGTCATGGAAAATAAAGAGTTTTTAGAATATTGTTAAAGTGTTTTAACAAGCAAATTCTTTTCTTTGCATAATGTAATTTCAAGAGCCAAAAAAATAATGATCAATATAGTTTGGTTATCTTCAACTTACAAGTCATCAGTCGAGCAAACTCCATTTAGCTAAGTTTACGACTTGACCCCCATCCTAAATGTTCAGTGCACAATTAAGAGAAGCAATTACATTCGATTAATAAGTTTTGGTCACTGTGTTATTTAAGTTCAGTTTTTTTTTTCAATTCTTACAATAATTTTAGTATTCTTATTATTTTAATTCTAAATAAATGTAAATTTCATTCATAGTGTAACAAACACACAAAGATTCACAATTTTTAGATAATTGATTTATAAATAAAATACCAAAAACACAGCGAGAATGCGGTAAAGAATGATGTTTCAATTGAGATCTATCCAAACAAAATTAGATTTAACGAAGTATTGTCATTTTCAGCTCAATACTGAATCAGTGTATTTCATAACAGAGAGACGGAGAAATGATTAGCATTCCAAATACGGCAATACGGTTTAGTAATTATAACCAAGAACGTAAACAAGTTACTGCAAATTATTCACACAGCATTCATCACCTGACTTTGTCTGAAATACAAGTAAATTTAACTTTGTCTAAAAATATATTTATTATGAGAACTTTGGTTTAACGTTTATTTAAATGTTTCTTAAAGTGCGATTAATTTAAAAGGTTTTCCAATTTATATCTATTTCTTATATTGAACAAGTTAAATTGTTTGTCTTTTAGAGAGTAAACTTCGATAATTTCTTTATAAAGGTATAGCAATAGACAATATCACTTCAATTCATATCCTTCATACTAAATGTGCTTAGTATATTTCACTTC